AGCCGTCCTCATCACGTAGGAACCGTGTTATCACCTTTAGATGGCCAGAACTCTTCATCACGTATGAGCCGTGTCATTCCCCGACCAGATCTCTTCATCACGTATGAGCCGTGTCACCCTAGATAACCAGCCGTCCTCATCACGTAGGAACCGTGTTATCACCCTTCCTAAAGATGGCCAGAACTCTTCATCACGTATGAGCCATGTCATCCACCAACCAGTCATCCTCATCACGTAGGAACCGAGTTATCATCCACCCTTAGACGACCAGACCTCTTCATCACGTATGAGTAGTGTCGTCCCCACCAACACGCATATCCAATTTATAGGAAAAAGAAGGAGAACCAGACAAAAACATGTTGTATTGTCGTCTTTGCCCAATTCTTGTTAACACAAGAATGTGCAAAGAGGGGCAGCTGTAGACACCCGTTTTTGTCCGGGTCTTTTTTATATATTATTATTATCGCTATTTTAATTATTATTTTTATATTTATATTATTATTTTATTAATATTATATTTTTACATATTTTGGCAGGCCAAAGCCCATTACAACCGGCCCCAAACTGTTGACCCAACATTGCTAGGGTTTCACCCTATCTCCCCAGCCGCCTCCAACATCTACCGTCAGATCTGGAGGATAATGAACGGCCCAGATCGCCCCAGGTTAGGGTTTTAAACCCTAAAAATATCAAAGCCACCGCCGCTTGGTCTCCCAGCCGCCGCAGCTTGACTTTTCAGCTTCCACCGACATATCAGCCATCGCTTGAGCCGAGTTTCCCCTCGCCGACGCCGAGCATTCCTTGAGCAGTACCAACAGTGACAGAGGTCATTAATCAGAACAAATCACAGTAAAAAAATATATATATCATCTATAGTTCAAATCTCACCAAATCTGAAAACCCATTAAAAAAGTCCTAAATCCCTAAATATTCGGCTTTTGGTACTAACCCGAGTCTAGGAACATCATTCCTATCAAATAGAGATGATGATTCTCAGCCAAGCACCATAAGAAACATACATGCAATGACAGAAGGGGTTCGGTTGGTTTAAAAAAAAACAGAGAATAGAAAAAAAAGAGAGATTCGAAACAGAAAAAAAAGAGAAAGGAAAGAGGAGAGAATAAAGACCATACCTTGGTCGAGCACCGATGAAAACCGGTCGCCGGAGATGGAGAAACCGAAAGGTTTCTCCTCTGATCCACCATGATTGAGCCACTTTTAGGCCAAAGGGAGGCCAAATCCTTGCTCAGGGCCTGGAGACGCTTCGGATGGCGTTATTTTCTCTCCCTCCGGCGTCGGCGTACGACGGCGACCGCCGATCAGTGGCGACCGGCGCGGCGGAGTCTGGCCGTTTCTAGAGAGATCTCTGGATCTCATCTCTCTCGTTCTCTCTCTTACTCTCTCTCTTCTCTAGGTGAAAATGAAACAGATGGCCGGTTTTGGGAGTTATTTGGGCTATTTATAGCTTGTGCAAAACGGCGTCGTTTTGAAGGGACGAGTTCTGTAATTTCACGCATGGGGTAACTACACTTTAAGTCCCCTCTCCTTTGTAATGCTTTATTTAAGTCATTTAATGAAATTATTATTGTTTTATTTCGAGTTTTTTAGTTTTTAATGATTGCATTTCAGTCATTAATTTGTATATTATGTTTGCTGATATTATAATTTGGTTGTGATATTGATATTTATTTCGTTTTAGTCACTGTTTCAGTTTATTGTGCATTTTCCTTTGATATTCGGATTTGGTCATGAAATTTGCAAATGTTATATATTAGTCATCGTTCATGTTTTATATCATATTTGTCTATATTTGATTCTGGATTTAATATTTTCAAATATTTCAATTTAATCACTGATCCTATGCATTTTATTATCTTTACTGTTATTCGAATTTGGTCACCATATTCGTATATATTCTATTTTAGTCATTGTTTGATGTTTGGTTTAATTACTTTGTGATCTTTTATGTTTCTATTTATTTCATTTTAGTCCTTACTCTTTTATATTACTACTTTCGTGAATGTTGGAATCTGATCTCGTATTGTGTAATTATTTTATTTTAATCACTGAATATAACTTTGCATTTTTTAATTTTTGGCTTCAAGTTCTAATTGCTTTTATTTTAGTCATTTTCTGTTTTTTAATATATTTGGTTTAATGTCTATTTTATTTCTTTTGTTTTGGGCATCTATATTTCCTTGTTTATATTTTAGTCCTACTAATGTATATTATGTCATTTTTGTGGATACTTGACTTTGGTCCCAATGTTTGTAATAGTTTCATTTTAGTCATTGATTTTATATGTTAGGTATTTTTGTTAATGTTCGAATTTATCCCTGACATTTGTGAATATTTTATTTTATACATTTATGTATGATTTTATTGTACTTGTTATTCGGTTATTGTATTATGTAAATAATGTTTTTAGTAATGTGAATATTTTATTTTGTATTTCCAATTACATTATTTTCATTATTTTTATCTATGTATGAAATATTCGATTATATTTTCAAGAACACGTATGCGTAGAATGGGCGTGGAAAGTACCACTTGGTCGAAGTGGTACGATCCGATACAGCATTTTAACGACATAGGAACTTGCCACAAGTCGAGTATATTTTACTAATTAATTTATTTTAATAATGCAATGTGTGTTTTTTAATTCAGTATTTATTTCATTTTTTATTTGAATGCAAACGTTAATTTCATTTATATTCGATTTGCATATTTATCAATGAGGGAATATTCTTTTATTAACTAGAAATAGTCGAGTTAGCTTTCCTGATGGAGGATTACTAATTTCGATATTTCTTTTCGAGTTAAAGAATTTTCTGTAATTAATTTATTCGAAGCAAATTGATTAAATTTCAAATAAAAGGATTACATCTTAATTTTATATTCGATTTGTAATTTCCACAATCACGACGATATGTAAGCGACACAGTACCAATTTTGGGCGTTGTAGGGGTGTTTATCCTTCCCCACACGTAACCGACTCCCGAACCTGTTTTAAATGAATCTTTGGTAACGTAGATCAAATTTTTGTCTTATAAAACTATTTTTCTTAAAATTGTTTTTAAAAGACGTTTTTAGGTATTCGACCTACCTAATCCAAAGGTCGATGGCGACTCATTTTCAATTTAATTTTAATTAATCCAAAATCACTCAATTTTTTTAAATTAAAGTCGTAATCGTTTTTAAAAAAATATTTAATTGTTTTAAAAAAAATGGTTATGACACTTTGTATTTCACATTAATTATGGATCTGATATCGACTTGTTGTATTCGTTACCAGCTTGTTCATGGTACCGAAACCGGAGAACCCTCAACAAACACATCAATATAGCAATTTAGTTTGAATGCTTATTGGTTTCCGCATTACCTGTTCAAGATGTTACTGTGTAGGTTTTAAAAGGCTTCTGCATGTGCAACTATAGGTGCCATTTGTTTTGCATTATCTTTGAGTGTACCTTTTACACTTACATGAAAAATAATGACATATTAAGTCTCTTAATTTTTTATTTTGTTAAATTTAGTCCCTAAATTTTTTTGTTCAATTCTAAAATAATTCCCATTTTTTAAAAAATTTTACAATTTATTTTGTTAAATAACTATGGAGATTTACTTACCAAAAGAAATAATCTCATTCAATCTGAAACGACTGGCAGACATAGATTCGCTTGGGCCCATCAAGCTATAAAGAATCCATATTTTTATCACTAATAAAATACTTTGATTTTTTCTTTCTATATTTATTTTTGTTCTTTTTTGGTTAATAGTTGGTTCCGAGATGGCTTAAAACTTCTAATCATGTCCAAAAAAATAATTATTGGTTATTCTCTTTGAATAAAACGCCAAATTTGACTATTATTTTGGTTTAAACCACAAACACAAGTTTGTTTAGCAAAAGTAAATGGATTTTGCTATATCTGATTTGGGAACTATCGGTTCCGATTGTTGTTTATTGGGTTTATTCAGGAATATATATGTGTTTAGGATCTTTTGAAAACTATAGATTGCATCCAGGAAGGGACGAGGATGAGAAGAATTTGGTTTCCAAACAAACAGTCGTTAAAGGCGTCCTTTTGCAGCAAATAATTCAGGCTGTTGTCGCCATCGTCTTGTTCGCTGTAAATCCTCGCTAAAACAATGATCGAATCTGTTACTTTTGATGATTGATTTACGATTGTGGTTTTATTCTGCTGGGTATCGTTGAATTTTATGATTCTTTTTCAAATTCTGGGTTTTGTTGAATTTTACGATTATCGGTCTTTTATGCCTGGGTATTGTCGTTGAATTTTACAATCGTTGTAAACATAAATCTTAAGCTGTAGGTGGCCATGAGTTTGAATCGTACAAGGTTTTGTATAATACATATTCAAATGTGTGTACATAAGTACAATCCTCCAATTCTATGAGAAGACTTGGAACAATATGAGCATACGTGTTAGGTAAATACTTGTATCTAATACTCGTCTCGTGTCCGAGTTATGCAGCTTTGAATGATCATTATAATTATGAATTTTCAGCTATAACCTTACTGTAATTCTGCATGTATGCCGTATAATCTGTCTCCAAGCATTTTTATTTGAAATGAGGTTGGAAGCATAAATGCAAAAATATACTTTGTTACGACTTTTGTTTTCGATCTCTGGTTTATCAGTAGGAAGTTTAATTTAACAGGTATCATAACCACGTCGAAGTTCCTTTTGTTTTAGGAATGATTTCGTAAGTTTCTTTGTACCTTGTGACCTGATGAAACGCTTTTATATGCCGGTTGTTACCGTTTCGTTGTGTTCGAGAGCTCCTTTTAACTTGCATAATCTACAGTCGGTTCGTTAACTGGTTTTAGTTTCATTTTTTCTTTATCATCTTTATCCAACTTTTGATTTCTGTGTGCTGTATACGTAGTTTCAGCTGTGGAATTCTCTTTGTTGTATGTAATTCTTTTTATCAAACGTTGCAATTTTCAGGTCACGGGGGGCGACGATGAAGCTTCCGCATAACAGTCGTCTTCCTTTGTTGTTATAGTTAGACAGTTTCTTACAGCAATGGTGGTTGTGGATACATGGCAGTATTTTCTGCATAGATACATGCACGAGAACAAGTTCTTATATCAGCACATTCACTCTCTGCATCATCGTCTTGTCGTTCCTTATGCATTTGGAGCTTTGTACAATCATCCGGTGGAGGGGCTTCTCGCCGACACAATAGGCGGTGCCTTATCATTTCTCCTGTCTGGCATGTCTCCTCGAACTTCCATCTTTTTCTTCTCATTTGCCACCTTGAAAACTGTCTATGACCATTGCGGGTTAGTGCTGCCCGGAAACCCCTTTCATATTTTCTTCAGAAACAACTCCGCATATCACGATATTCACCATCAGCTTTATGGCACCAAATACAACTACTCGCAACCGTTCTTCGTCATGTGGGATAGAATTCTCGGGATGTGCCTTATTCGCTCAAGAAGAGAGAAGAAAGGGGCTTTGAAGCACGGCCAACGAAAGAGTTGAAAGATGATTAAACCAGTTAGACCGAGAGCATCCTTTCCGGTTTCTTGCGTAAAATGTACTAACACCTTATTCTTTCTTTTTGCTCCTTGTATCAGTAAATCACACTGCTTTTGTGATGTGTAAATTCCTATATTCTGAAGTTCTATACTTCATACAAATTTTTGTTTATAGAAGTAATAATATTAAATTTTTGTATCAGATACTACGAAATTCAGAGAACATATAGCTGAGCAACGTGAACTACGAAATTCAGGAGAAGAGCATACAAGTGAATGTTTAAAAAAACAAAATTTTAACATAGTTGATTTGTCGACAAAGTAACACAAGTAGAACATGATTCATAACAACCAAGAGATAGAAACATAAACCCGAATCTGAAATAACTTCAAACTAGTATTCCAAGGTTCACTGTCAATCCATTTGCCAAAATTTACCATATTGAAATTCTAGCTCTTGGATGATTGCTTTTCTTTTGCCTTCTGAATCTTCAGCACCTTTTTCACAATCTTCTGCTCCTCGACCAAAAAGGCCCGAATGATCCTGCAATATTTCCCCAATCAATAAAATAAGTCTTAAGTCTCAAACCAACGAAAGCACAGGAAGATTTAAGTCCTTAATGTACGAACCTTTCCCTAACAGCGCTTCCAGATAAAACTCCACCATAAGCACGGTTCACAGTCCTACGGTTTCTCGGCAATCTCGACTCTTATACTCAGCAGGCCTCAAGTGAGGAATCTAAAAAAGATACGCCACATTTCAGATCAACTGAGGAGAAATTTACTCCAACTGAAATATACCAAAATTTTCCTCTATATATATATATATATATACACAAATTATGTTTCAATTGAAAAACCATGAAATAACATATTTTGAAATATAAGCCACATTTAGGACCAACTGATAAATAACTTTACTCAAACTGAAATTATACCAAAATTTTCATCAATATACCCACATTATATTTCAATTGAAAAGCCACGAAATAACATATATTGAAATGAATCACAATAAAAGATGTCATTGATCAAAATGAGCCTAAACTTAGAAGCTATACTGAATCATAATCTCCTATGAATCAGATTTTTGCCCCCTAAAATCATACACCAAAAACGAATTTCTTACAAACTCAACAGTCGTTCAATAATTTCCATCGAGATCTTTTTAAAAAAAGACTTACTCCTTGAATCCTCTTTCCAGTAACAGGACATTTGGGTCCACTAGCTCTCTTCTTTGTGGTTTGATAAACGAGTTTCCCTCCTATTGAAACGAAAACAAAATGAAAAGGAAAAATCAATCCCAAGCCAATGCGCCATTAATGAAATCAAATAAGCAAAACCCAGTAAAGAATCTTGGTTATTGAGAGAGAAAGAGAGAGCTGGAAGGAGTTACCGGGGGTTTGACGACCCGGTGCTGGTTGGATTTGGTGGCGTAGCTGTGACGCGTGCGGTATGTTAGCCGCTGAACCATTTTGGAGGCTCTGGATTTTGGTTCTAGGGTTTTGGAATGGAGAAGACTTCAGTTTCAATCCCCAAGGGGATATTTAAAGGCAAACTAAACTGGGTTTAAACGGCAACAGGTTGACACCATTGGGCTTCTTTCTTTGTCTTAGTTTTAGTTTTCCAGCCCGATTCTGAACCCAATAATACTCATTTGGTCTATCCGACGATTAGTTAGGTTCTTTGAACAATGTTTATAATTTAAAATTTGATATCGTAAATAGAGCAAGTGAGATTTGGAGAATCGTTTTCTTAATGAGATTTTATAATATGAAGTTTGGATTAGTTGATCAATGAATTAGATATCGATAAATATGTTTAAAATTCAAGTTACCCGTTCAATCTCAAAGACTCATCTCAAATTAAGAGGATTTTTTTAAAAAGTACGGAGTAGTTACAATATAGTATTTGTTCAGAATTTTTTAGCCTAGTGGACAATACACACATCATGCAGACAAAACTATTCAAATTCGAATCCTTTAAGGAGAATAGCATTCCCTTTTACTACTAATAATTAATCACTTAATAGATTCAATTTAAAAGGATTTGAATAAAAATATCATACACGAAAAATATTTCTAATATATTTTATTATTTTTTAAAATTTTAAGATTTTATTTTTTTCGGTTTAAATATTTCTTAGATCATTGTTAATTTTAAAGTTGTTAAATCATGACATAACTCTCATTTTATTACAATTCAACCCAGATATTTGATTCTGGTTTTGTCCTTGAGAATTTGGTGGTAGTGATCAACTCCACTGCTATCATGGGAAGAGAGCTCCATTGTTTCAGCCATATATTTGTACTAGATATACTGTAGATATAAAATTTGACTATAGTTTCCAAGAAACTTGTTACTGACATGCAAACACAAGATTTTTTTTCCTAATTGAAAGAAAAGAAAAGCTATAAATGTTACAATCATTCTGGGAAAATTTCAAACCATAAACTATACTTTTGATTTTCTTCATTGATAACCTATAAGGATGTCAGTTTACAATACAAGGATTGATTGTGGTTCACTAAATTTGTCTTCAAGGACCAGGATTTCCTCTAGTAACTTCACTATACACATCTCTCTTTACCTATGGTACTCGAACTCTTCATTTCTCTTTTGATATCGATATCTGACATCCGTGTGACATATTCGAACATACCCCTTTCCTGAACTCGAGTTAGAGTAACCCAAAAAAGGAAAGCAAAATTTGAAAAACGAAGGAGAAAACCAATGAACCAACCCCAAGAATCAAAAAAGGTTTCTTGATGAGAAACCAGATACAGTTTTTTACCAGCCGCAAGTTTTGTCTGCTCTGAATCACTGTTGAAACTTACTTTGAGGTCATTGATATTCCTTGTTGAAGAAACTAAACCACTTGAAACTTTTTTGTCAATCAAGGTTTTCAAGACCTGTTGTGGATGGGATCCGATCCTCTTCGAACTCTTCGTTTGCTCGACCGATTTGGATCGAATCCGTTGTTTACGAAAGCCGGTTTCTTCTCTGTATCCATTCCCTTTGTATCAACAGCCTTGAGAACACGTTGATCATGTCTGAAGCCAACAAGGTACATATTTCTCAAACCGGAAACTTCAACTGATTGAACTGCTAATAACCCGAAAATCATAAGAAATATAAGCACTCTTTGAGCACTGCAAACCATTTTTCTGCTTCTCTTCACTAAACTCAACTCAAAACAAATAAGAAGCAAACACAAAGCCTATTATATGTTTGTTTTTGTGTAATGTCACTTTGGTTATGTTCCATTGCCGTAGACATGAGCCAGTTATTTATGTGCCCTGTTGGATTTGGAAAGGACTTTAAAGGGCATATTAAAGCAATGGAGGGACCCAACATTAAAAGAGGGCGTTTTGGGATTCACTAAAAATCATAAGTCTGCAATAATCTAAGCAAATTAAGGCTGCTGTATAGAAGAATCTGACATGGATGAATAAAGGTTTATGGAAATTGGAATAATACCCTTAACAAGCCAAGTATCTTTTTCTTTAAGCTTCCTTCTCTCTCTCATTTGTTGCCACTATGTTCTGTCTGCCACATCATCCGGCCAGTTCCTATGTCGACATTTGACTCTAGACCCACCTAGTCCTGTCTGGCAAGCTTTTAGAATGTTTGAGATCAAATTACTGTTACGGTTATGAATTTATGTTGGATACGAGAAATAATGAATAAAATATGACACGTGTTACTAAAACTAACAAACCTGATGATTGCTGCAAATTAAACAAAGGGGTATTACAAAAATAAAGACATTTCTTTGATATTAAGAAAAGGGCGTTGTTTGTTTTTCTTTAATGGGGATGACCGGTCAAGGCAGAAGCCATGAATATGGACCACTCAGAACTGCTGGATTGCTTTGCAACAGTAGCAAGCCAAAGCTAATTCCATTGAAAGAATGAGAATTTAAAGTGAAAGTGTATATTATATGTAAAAGAAGAGCCAGTTCAAAAATAAAAAACTTGTCTTTTGTCCCTTGAGTTGTTCAAATGCTTCTCGTTTATCCATGTAGGATTATATGTATTAGTTTGCTTTTATTAAAATATGCAAAATGTCACATGCAACTTGGAACATTCTAAAGCATTAATTGTCGCACTTTAGGGAAGTTTTGTTCTTGTGATGAGATGAGATGTGGGGTTAATATTGGTGGCTGCTCATAGCATTTCACATCATCATAGCATTAATAAATTCGATTAATTTGAACTCTCTGCCCACCATAAATAAAAAATAACCCAAAAAAATTATTACTTACTATTAGTATTTTTTAGAAAATATTATTTCTCTAAATAATTTGGGTTCGAGTAATTACGTCTATAGAATGTGTGTACGTTGCTAATAACTAAAAAAATATTAAAAACAGAATAGATATTACTTGTAACCACTCCAAATGTATTTAAAAAATTGAAAGAAAAAGGAGTAAAATAGGGGTTTTTATATAGATTATCGAGGTTGGTCTAAAAGTGTATGCTTTATAAAACTTTGATTTAAACTAAAGGGGCAAAAGGGTCGACGAGGCATCCAGGCCCGACGGTCTTTGTGCCAATTAGACCATCCCCAGTCAGCCTTGCCTGAATCCCTGACCAACCCACCCATTATATTCCAATATATCAAAAGCAAATTAAAGAAAAGTTAGTCTAACCAAATCCCAATCTTTCATCTATTCCCTCAGTCTAACCAAATCCCAATCTTTCATCTATTCCCTCCCTTTTTCTAGGACAGATATAATTGATGTCATCGGCTCTGTCAATAGCCTTTTAGACAAGTTCACAGACTTGGGATATCAACAGCATCATCATTGATCCCGGATTGAGTCAGTGAGTTCACAGATAAGTCTGCACAGTTCATAAAATAAGAGCACCTCACCCATTATGAAAACTAAGAGTTTGCATAGACTACTTTTGTGACAAAACTTCGACCCGAGGAAAATATTCTGTCGATGTCCCGACTTTATGCCCATCTTCGACCAAAAGATTGGATCATAAACGTGAACTGATTTAAAGATGA